GTTCTTAAGATTTTCTAAAAGCAAAGTTCTTGAAATGTCTTTTTGAGCTAGTGAAGCACTAATTCGATCTCTGTCTGAATAAATATTTGTATTAAAGTCTCCTCCAATTATATTTATTGCCTCTGGATTTATTGTTGGAGTTCACCAGTTGAAAAAAAGAATTCTATCAGATTGATTTGGTGGTGTGTATACATTTGTGATTTTGAGGGTATGATTCTTGTATGATGTAGTTGTTGTAATAACTCTTCCATTTTGTTTGATTTTGTTGTCTCTAAATAAAATATTTTTATTTCCTGCTAGAATTGCTGCTTTACTTGACCAAATTGAGTCAAAAGGTCATTGTTGTTGCAAGAATTCTCTAGTGTCTTTGTTGCTAAGGTTTGTTTCTTGTAAAAGAATAATATCCAATTTATATGATTTTAATAATGTTAAAGTGTTTCTTTGTTTTTGTTTGTCATTGAGCCCCTTGACGTTTAGGGTTGCTGTTGTTAATTTTGATTTAGTTGTTATTTAGATAGAGAAGGGATTTGTGTATTTTCAGAGGTCTTATTTCTATTTGAAATTCTAGTTTTCAAATAGGGTTTGTCTTTTTCTTGCTTTTTATAAGAGCTTCTTTTAACTTTTTTTCGCTTATTGGTAACTAAAGTAAATTCTAATTCTTTTTCCTCAAGGTCAAGAAGAGAGGTAGTTTGGTGTGTAGTCAACTAACTTCCAGCTTGTTGTTGCTGATTAGGGGTAACTAAGTTCTTTTTATCTATATCTGATGGAACTTCTTGTTGATTTGAAAGTTTGTTGTTATCTATTTCTGAATCAGATTGGTTGCTAGTCCAAGCAAGAGATTCTTTATTGAATTGTGAAATAGTAATTGCAATAACTTCACATTCTTGAATAGCCGAATTCTCTTTTTGGAGAGTTGCTTCGTTTGGTAGTTTGTTTGGATGTTGGAAGATTCCAGAACATTGTGTAGCGGTTCTAATACCCTTTTGGTTTTATTTTCTTGGTATTTCTTATATTGTTGTCTAAGTTTGACTGCTTCTTTAAATTGCTCACAGTCCTTTTTCAGATGCCCTTCCTTGTCACAAAAGAAGCAGACCTTAGAAGCAGATTTCTATTCAGTTGTGACTTTGTTGTCCCATAAAAAGATATAATATGAGATTCTTGCTTCGAGTTCTGGATCATCAGTTGTCTCAAAAATTATAACCCATTAGTCAGTTGCATAAGAAGTTCCTTCAATAAGAAGTGGTTTAATAGCTATGATTTTTCTGAAGTTTTTAAAAGTTTCCAAAATTGCTTTAGAAACTCATTCTTTGTTGTTAAGTAATACATTTCTGACCTTGACAGACAGAAATGATTTTCTATTATCTGTGAAAATGAATCCATAATAAGTTTGATTAAAAATTACTATGCCTTTGCTGGCATAGTGTTTGAGCTGTTTATTATTAGCAAAAGCTAGTTTTAAGTGTGTTCTATCATCTTTGGCAAAATGTTGTTTTGCAGCGATTACATTTTGTCCTACATGTTCGTATAAAGAAATCATAATTTCATTAAAGGAGTGGTTTAAGCTTCTGATATCAAATACCAAAGTGTTATTATTTTTTGACTTAATAGAATTTCTAAGAGAAGAGACAGAGTATGTAGACTACCCCTTTTTAATTTTGCAAAAATGCTGAACTATTGCTTTTTACCCCCTTGAAGTGTGTCTGTGTTGGCATGTGTTTCAACATATGGATTGGCACATGCTTTACTGTGTACATCAGGTTGTGCTTCAGTACATGTTTCTGCATTAGCCACATGACTTTTTTGTTTATCATCATATAATACTTCTTGTCTACATGTCTTTGTTGTTATCAATTTACTGCTCACAGCATTATCTTTTTCAGTAGTTTTAGCTTTTGGGCTTTTATTGTTGTTTTTCTTTGCAATGTTGCTTTTTTGTTCTGTTGCCAAGATAGCACTTCTATTTAGTTCTTGCTCTACTTGTTCATCCTAGTTTGCACTGTTGTTCGAAAGAAAACTTGTTTTGTATTTTATGTTTTGCTTATTTAGAAGGAAGTTTGTTTCGAGTAAAACTCTTTTATGTTTTCGAAGGTTAAGTGGTATAAGTCTATATTTCTTAGGAACAAAGGCCTTTGTCCTAGTTCTAATAAAAAATAAAGAGTCTTTGTTTTCTTTGTTAGTTGTTATTTTATTAATAATAAAAATCCTGTTCAAATTAGTGATGAACAGGAAAGAGTTTTTTTTCCATGTTTATAAATATATTTAAAAAATATATATATATAAATTTTTACAAAAAGTAAAGAACTTAAAAAATCAATAATCTAATATTTTAACAAAGATCTAAAAAATAAAACCAATTAAAAAAAATTAAAATAATAAAAATAATAAAAATATAGAAATATACAAAAAATATTATATTTAAAAATATTAAGATCTATAAAAAATATCAACAAAACTATCAAAACTTGTTTTTTATACTCTAGATAATTAGGTTAAATAATACGAAAAATACTTATTTATAAAAATCGTATTTTATATTTTATAAATTTTATTAAAAAACACAGCATTTCACATTTTTTCAAAATTATGATCTTTATTCACAATAATTAAATTATTAAATATTACACTATTAAAGAAAAAGAAATAAATAAGTATATAATAATAATTAAAAAAAATAAATTAAAAATTTACAATTAACGTATAATTTTTTTTTATATAAAAGCAGCAACGGTTAACAAAGGTGATCGGCACTAGAAGGGATAATTGCAGACTCGCACGTGTGTAGTCCAAGTCTATCGCTATATACTATTTTTAGAAAGACTACATTTTTTTTTCAACATCGATAAGAAAACCTTTACAAAAATTACAGAATAAAAAACACAATTTCTCTACACTTGGTTCTTTAGGAAAAGTAAAAAAAAACTTTTTACCAGTAATATGTAGAACTTTCATTTTTTTCAATATAAAATAAAACAATAGTATAAAAAATCGCAAATGCAAAAATTTGACTAAGTAAATAGTACGTACAAGAAAAGAAATTTTTGAACAAAAAAAAGGGATACACTATACTACGGAAAAGGGGGAATATGTATGTATATATATTTATATTTTGCATATGGACAACCATGTACAGTAAGAAAGGGTGAAAAAGATCACAGAGAAAAAAATATGTTCAGAAAAAAGGGTAAATTGGTTTTATATAATATAAAATGCTGATGAAAACCTTAATGAATTATTGATCCACATTCAGTAATCATCACCAAAAATTAGTGTATAAAATATATAGTTCAATAAAAACAAAAGAAAATATAATGAATCGCAAAATTTGCGAAACCAATACCAAAAAAAAAGAAACCCTACCATAATGCTAAAAAAAAATATATTGAGCTTGCAATTATATATAACAATGTAAGGAGTCTATAACCCTACGGACATCACCAAATTTATATTTTACAATGCTACCGTTTAAATTTATTCAGAAATGTGAGGAACAGAACCAATATGTAAATTTGTATCAGATCCAATTGCCGGTGAAGACATGACAGGTGAATTATTAGACGTTCCGAGAGGAGTATGCGAACTGGTGGGTGTCAGGATATCGGTTGAAATACCATCGTTAGTGATACCACCATTTTGATTCTTTTGATTTTCTGTGAGGATCATAAGTTTTTCAACTTCTATTTAACAATTAATGAATTTAATAGAATAATTATCAATAAAAATTTAAAATGAAAACAAAAAAAACGGTATAATAAAAAAAATTTTTTTATATCTTACTTGAAATGAGATGTTTTCCGTATGTATATTTCTTTAATGACTGCAGTTGAGGTTTAATTTTTGCGACAAGGAGATCTCGTTGATCACCATCAACTACATCAAGCATCTTCTGGACTACATAATTAGCGTATTGATCCTTCATCATCGAAATCAAAGGTGAAGTACTATAAACAAAAATAAAAATAAATCAGAATATATTATGTGTATTACACACACATTTTAGGTGAATATATATACATACCCATCAGATTTGGTCTGAATAACTTCATCGATTAATAATTGACGATCACGTTTGCTACCATATGCAACACATTTTTCAACTACGTTGCTAGCAAATTTATGTTTGGACATTTGCAAAACATTACCACGAACTTTAGCAACAACCATTGATTTATCGGCAGCTTTTCCACGTTCCAGAACGTGTTGTATAACGTAATTTCCATATTGATCTTGTACTAAATTTTGAGTATATCGATGAAGTTCTTCCAGTAGAGGCTTCTATAAATAAATTTTAATGATATCTTTAGATCATTCTCAATTTATTCATCAAATTTAAATTCAAAAACAATAAATAAATAAGGGAATAAAAATAAATATAAGAATATATTTCATACCGTTTGTTCATCGGTGCAATGTTCAAACATACGTTGAATTACTCTACAACCATATGGATGCGTCGCAAGATTATAGACCTGTCCATGGAAAGCATTTATGATAAACTGAATATGTTCTGCAGGGACACGTTCAATAGCTTTTTGGATGACATGATTTCCGTTTTGATCCTTGACACATTTAAGCACATTACCGTCCAACTCTTTGACTAAAGTAGCCTGTTGCTCAGTAAGAACATGTTCAAGTGCCTATTTAATTTAAAAATATATATAATAATTTGAAAATTTTACAATAAATAAATAAATTAATTAATTAGAAATTCATCAATTACATAATAAATTATATAAATTATATGAATTACATAAGTTGAAAAGAAGGCCTTAAATTTTAAATACCTTTTGCACAACACGACATCCATACATTTGTAAAGCTAAAGATAAAACATGACCTTCCATTTGTTTTGCCAATATTGTCTTTTGCATTTGATTACCATGTTCAAAGAATTTTTGAATTACATAATTTCCAAACACATCAGTCATCAATTGAAGAGCGTTAGGTAGAATTTCATCAAAAACTAACTGTTTCTCTTCACTATTAGCGGTTTCAAGTTTTTGTTGAATGAATCTTGAACCATGCTGATCACCACTGAATTCTACTATATTACCGACAATGTCCTAAAACAAATAATGAATTGTATAACAAATCATAAATTGTATAAAAAATAATAAATTGTGCAAAAAAAAATAACAAATTATATGAATATTAATAAATAAATAAATAGATAAAGGATATAAAGCATTAAAAAAGATACATACTCTAAGTTCGTATTTTTTATTCTTGTTATTCCTGAATTCTTCTAATAGAGCGCTTCGCATACCGTGACCAGGGTCGGAAATACTTGAACTTAAATCATTACTACGGCGACCACTAGAAATACCGCCATAACCAATACCATTCAAATATTCAGCAGAATGATGATGTCTTAATAATTGTTCACGAGCAAGCATCATTTGTTGCTGTTTTAACTGTTGTTGTTGAAGTAACAGTTGTTGCGACTGTAATCGCAAATTTTTCTCTGCTAGAGAAGCACGGGTTTGGGCATTTAGTGTCGTACCACCTAAACCACTCACCGAGCTAAGACCAGAAGCGTAGTATGGACTATTTTTTCCAGAACTGTATTCGGATGATAATAATTGTTCACGACCAACACCCATGGTACCAGAACTTCCTAAACCAAGTTGTTGTTGCTGAAGCGCTTTTTGGTAATCAATAGAATTTCGACCAGAACTTAGACTTAAAGAACCATTACGTGAGTATGTCATGTCAGAGGAAAGGATATTTCTATTTAACATAGTCTCTTCTCGAGGATCCCATACAGACGAATAAGGATCTATATATACATGTGAGCATGTAAGTTATATGTGCGTATGTGTGTATATAAGAACAAGAATTATAATAATGCTAATAATAATAATAATAAAATAATAATAATAATAATAATAATAATAATAAAATAATAATAATAATAATAATAATAATAATAATAATAATAATAATAATAATAATAATAATAATAATAATAGCAATAGTAATAGAATAATAATAATAAATAGTAATAGTAATAAATAGTAATAGTAATACTAATGAACAGTGATAGTAATAAATAGTAATAATAATAATAATGAACAGTGATAGTGATAGTAATGAATAATAATAATAATAATAATAGTAATAAATAAATAGTAATAGTAATAGTAATAGTAATAAATAATAATAATAATAATAATAATAATAATAATAATAATAATAATAATAATAATAAATACTCATAAGATAAATTAAATGAAGAACATACCAAGTGCATATTGAGAATAACCACCGGACGAAGAATTATCATTAAATAAAGAATTGTATTGTGATTGTTGCATCTTTAAACGTTGCTGTTGCTGCTTAATTGCTTGTTGTTGTCGCATAATTTGCACTTGTTGAATGGTATCATAGTCATCCTATTTATAATTATGTATAATAAAATAGTAAATTATATAAAACAAGAATCTAATAATTATTTATATAGAAAAAAATATATAAGACATTATAATATTATACATACAGTTCCTTCAAGGTTTTTGATATTATACAAGAGATCAGAGTGAGTGAGGTCTCCATGAAATTCTTGAGAGAAATTAAGGCTATGATTACGGAAATGATTTTGAGTCGGAGGTGTTGACGAAGCACGAGGGGGAGGTGAAAATTTTGTGCGAAGTGGAGGTGGTGAAGCACCTCTACCAAAACCTATTCGATGATCAAATTCTTCTACACCAGAAATCATAGATTTAACATGATTATCATCGCCAGAATTGACACGCAAATTACTTTGATAATGGTTCGGATGGTTGAGAGATTCTTCGAGCTCAAGAGCGGAACGAAAGTCAACATCAAAGGCATCATTACCCAATTCAGCAGCAGCGGCAGAGCTTGCTTCTGCTAGAGCAGCTTGTCGTTGGCGGGCGTTCGAATAGAGAGGAGAAGGTGTTCTCGGAAAATCCTAAGAAAAAGAAATAATATTTAGCAGAAAGTCAATTCTTTTATCCTTTGAAAAAAAATTTTATTCTTTTTATTGATATATGAAAATCATTTTAATAATTGTCATAACTTTTTTTTTAAACAATAACAAAATTTTTAAGAGGTAAGAGAATACCTTGTCATTATACTAACCTCTTGAATCATCTTTACGAGGTTTTTTCTCTTGTTCGGAGAATGTAGATCGTTATTCATACCTTGAGGTGGTGGAGATGATAATTCCGACCTCCAAAGGGATGCAGCACTGCCAACACCCTGATTACCGAATTGCTCATACTGACCAGTATGTGTACCAGGATCATTAGAGTAATCTTGCTGACCAATTGTCGAATGGGATTCAGGTTCTAAACTTTGATCCAATGGATGTTCGCGTAGAAAGTCATCGTCAGCATCTAAAATATTGAATGAAATAAATTAATTAATGTTGGACCAATTTTTTTTGTGTAAATAAGTAAAATAAGCATTTGAATTAATAAGTATGGAAAAGTTGAATAAAATAAAAATACATATATATAAAATTCAAAGGTTATATTAACAAAATAATAGAAGGGAATATTGTAGTATAAACATAGTAAACATAGGACAATATAATATTGAAACAAAAAAATATATATGTATATATAAACATATATATATGTGTGAACATATATATATACATAAACATAAACGTATATATATACATAAACATAAACGTATATATATATACATAAACATAAACGTATATATATATACATAAACATAAACGTATATATATATACATAAACATATATATATATATATATAAACATATAAGTAAAGAAACATACCCATCCCACGGAATTTTTCTAAAACTTTTGGTTTGGGAATTTGAGCACCATTTGGTTTATGATTTAACCCACCCAAACCACCACCACCAGCCCATAATTGCCAAGATTGACCGGGAGTATATAAAGGGGGGGGAAGTCTAGGATCAAGACGAGAATTCATGTAATAAAATGCCGGATAGTCAGGATCTAAGCGTGGATCGGAAGGTGATGGATTATCTAGTTCTGAAGGATCAAACCGACCAAGCTGATCTACCACTTGAGTTGGTGGAGCACTATTAGAACGACTAATATCTTGTCGTGTGCTTCCAAAAATATCATAATCGTAATCATGTTTATCTCTCAAAAGAGCAGCCACTTGCTATAATTCAATATAGTTGAATAAAGAGATAAAGAGGAAAAAGAAGAAAAAGATATTTAATAATTTAATAATGATTTAACAATGTCTACAGTAATATTTTTAGTTACATAATGATCCTTAATAGTATTAAAAGATCAGATCAAGATCGATGAAACTAAATTATAACCAAAGTAATACTTTTGAAAGTTATTATCTTACCTGTCCTTGTAGTTTATTATTCGCTTTTGGCTGAGGAAGGTCAGCTTTGTTTTTGGACGCTTCGTCCATAATAGTACGAGGAATCATCTTTTTAAAGAGACGAGTTAATTCTTTTTAAAGTAGCAAACTATATATTATTAAAGGTAATTAAAAAATAAATGTTTTTTTTTGGATTTTTTTTTTTTTTGTTTAATAATGCGAAAACCTTTTTTTTTTTACGCACGCAGTTAAAAAGACAATAAAATAAGAAATCGCGTGAGACTTGTACAACTTTTTTTTTTTTTACTGCGATGAAAAGAAAAAAAAAATACACAAGTAAAAAATAGGAAAAAAGAAACGATAATTAAAAAAGAAAAAAGGTCTAGAAAGTAATAAAAGTTTCAAGTAAAAGAAAAATAAATCTAAAGAGAAATATGAACAAGACTTTTGTACAATTTTTACACTTGAGAGAGGACCCTCAGATGAGGAGTTTGAGTGTATATACTTGCAAATGAGAAACGAAGGCAGTAGATGCAAAGAAAGACGGAATCGAGGTAAAGAAAAGAAAGTGAAATAAAGATATCGATTATATGGTAGTATAAGGAAAGCAAGTAAAGGGCATCGTTTCTCTTGCGTCGAAAGGGGATAAGTTGTTAAACCTTTAAGCAGAAGGTTTTGAAAAGAAGTGAAATTTGCAAGGGTAATATAGATCAAAAAATTACCCAATCTATATTGAGGGTTACAAAACTCCGTTATGTTGTAACACTCTTTCTAATAATAATATAATATATGGGGTCTTTGCCTCGAAAATGATCTTATGGGATATATAGTAATTATTATGTCCCGTAGGGTCATTTTCAGGCAAAGACCCCCATATATCAATATGTTCAATATGTATATAATATAAGTATCTATATATATATCTATACAGACATACATATATATATATATATATATATATTTTTTTTTTTTTTTTTTTAACTAACAAAAGTCAGCAAGCACAAAACTGCATAAATATTTTTTTAACTCAGCCACCGTAAGGAGATTACAATACTTATATTAGCGAGGAAAGTGATACCAACAATGATGTTTAGGTATCATAATATAAATAGAATGATCAATGAATAATTTCCAGAATCCGGTTATATAAGTTATCAAAGACTATCAAAGAATATAGATGAATATAGATGAATATAGATGAATATAGATGATAATTATGAAAGCAAAGAAAAACAGAATTCAATAAATAATAATTAATAATAAAATAAAAACAAGATGTTCAGACAACATCCTGTTGTTTGTTTATTATCCAAGGTCACAAGATCACAACAAAAGAAATATACATAGGTAAGGGTTGCGGAGGAATCATAAATCATAATAAGTAAGATATATAAGTGACAATGATAATAAGACATTAACCAATTAACATAAGATGAAATTCATATTCGTTTTAGAAAGAAAAGAAAAAATAAGTTTATGATCCTCTCATGGTTTACAAATGATTACCACTCCCGAAATGAAAAGCAGATAGTGAGGGTTTACACTCCGATTTACCCAAAACATTGAAATCAGTGTAAGTTACCCAATGAGGATTATTTAATACGTACGTACGTACGTACATACGTATGTAACTATAATATTTTAATATTAATATATAGTTATAAAAAAAAACTACGTATAATATAATGATAATATATGTACATACGTATATAATAAATATTGATATGATAACCCTAACAGATAATGAAGACTATGTATGTATACGTATAACAGATAATAAAAATAATAATGATAATGAAGAAGATAATAAAGATAATGAAGGCCATATATATATATAACGGCTACGTATACATACAGTATAATATATAATGAAGATTACATATACTGCATAACAGATACGTACGTATGTACGTAATGATAATTAATCTGATATATAAATATATTAATAAAAAAACATGTGTATAATAAACATATATATAATCAACATATATATAGTAAGCATATACATATACGTAGTAAGCATATATATCAGATATGTAATATCTGTTATATATTATATATTAATTATTTAAAAAAAAACTAAATGACCGTTTTGTATCAACAACATTTCCCGCCCAATTTTTTTACTAATATTTTTTTTAACCAATCATTTATGGACAAATAAAAATAATCGTAAAAAGAAATACATATATGGTTAGAGAGATTGAACATACGCCATCGTTTATTAGCGAGGTCAAATATATTTAAAGTTATCATGAAGCTCAGTTGGGAAAATTATAAATGGGCGTTCGTTGATCACAATAATAAACAAACAGTTTTCATTGCATGTTATTGGGATGTTTAGAACGTGATACAATTTATTAGTATACGCGCCTTTGCCAATTGCAACCGTGCTAGTCCGATGTTATAAGTATTTTTAGTCGGTACCTCCAAAACATTCTAAATAAAACGTTAATCAATTGACCATTAATATCGCAAACATTCCAAAATGTTAATCAATTACACATTGATATCGGAATGTTTTGGTCTTGTTAACCCAAATTTGTAAATTTAAAGGACAAATGATTCTCTTTAATTAACCAGCCCTTACTTCGATCCGATCCACCAGATCACTATTAACTTTAATACGCGCGTATCAACATTTAACCACTTTTTTGTTAAGATCTTTTATTAATAAATGTATAGATTCGAAAAACATTACACAAAAATTAATTTCCCACACACTCATTTAATTTACCTGAATCCTTCGTATAATAACAAGAAAAAACTAGTCACTATACAATGCGCCGTTTTGCATATGTTTGTATTTTGGTGTATGATTATTTAGTGTGATCGACTGATAAGTAAAATATTCATCTATAATATATCCATTATCACATAATGATATCGATATGTATGTAAAGATTCATCTACGTACGTACGTAGCATATCGAGATCATTTTTTTTAAGATTATCTTGTTAGTGGCTGATAGTATACATTATCCAATCATGTGTTTTAATGAATTCATTTATTATCGCTACGTGGCACTATGTTATATGTAAGTTTTCATCAAACTTTGGTTCTTATTATCGGACTTAGCCCCTGAAAATTCTGATCAGTGGCATTAATACAATGATTAAATTTAAGACGTACGTATCATATGTTCATACGCTGATCAAATTTCACATAAATTTTTATAAACTTTTATAGTATAAAGTTATAAATTATCTGATAAAATGTGTTTTGCATGAATAGCTTATCAATGATTATACCCATGATTAATCTAAGATAAATGAACGTACGTAACTTCTCTCTCACATGTTATCCTTTTTTTTTTTTACATTTCATCGTTATTGATGTTTCGGATCGTCTTATCACGTGCCCACTGTCCCATCGATATGGTTTCGGGAATTTTTCGTTAAAGAATTTATTCATATATATCGGTCGTACTGGTACATACGTACGTACGTACATACGTACCTATCTATCTACCTACGTACTACGTATGTATGTACTAAAATCTTGGTTTCATTAACTGCGTGTGACAAACAGGTCCGACAATGTGCTTAATATTTTTATTTTACTTCCTTAGCAGTAGCATCTGATTATTTACATTAACCTATAATAACTTGCATATAAAAATAATACAAGTTTCCCATTTGATCATGTATAATAATGCAAGGTTACGAAAGTTTCGGGCGTCGGTAAAATCCACTTTACCTTTCTCAACTTGCAAAATTTCTGCCCGTTCTTTTGACTTTTTTATAAAATTGATATCTGACAAAGGGACTCACGCAATCAACATTCTTCTTGCTCTTCCTCGTTACCGTTTCATTGCATATTCCCCATCCTGCCGATTATGTCTCCATCTGTCCTTGTTATCTATTGGCTCTAATTTACCCGCTTACTATATTGGCTATCTCCGATACTGTCTATATGTTTGATTGCATTTCTATGATTTTCTATATGTTTTCTGTTATTATTTTCTTCAATTTAGTTGGATCGACTAACTTTATCCCTTAAACTGTCTTGCTGCAAAATTTCCCTGTAAATTATCACGATTGATCTATAATTAATCTATCGATCTATATTACGTATTATTTGTCGTTTATATTTCTGCTTATTTCAAGTTTTACGTTAATAAAAATACGGTTTAAACCATTAAATTTTACTCCTAAAATTCGTATATGTGTGTCGCCAATTTATTTTGTAGTAATATATATTGACTTTCTAATTTTCACTTAGCGGCTCTCATATGAGTACTGTCTGATTTCTGTTTTTAAAATTTTTAAATTTATATGATACGTAATGTTAACTAATTTTAATTCTTTAATACATCGTATATGTTTTCAAGTTAGGTAAATAAACTTGAAAGCCCGAAGTCTTATTGTTCCTTAGCAGCACTTATATTTTCATTAATATTTAGTCTTTGAGATTTTCTAAGATTCATTTTACTATTCATGTATTCAAAAAAATTTGCCTATAATTAAAAAAAAAACTCCTAAATACTAATATAGTATAGTTATAATTAAGATGTCGAACCTTGCAAAAAAATTAATGGTTTTTTCGGTTTAAAAAAAAATTAATCTATGATGTTTTATTTAAAAAATTTATTTATATCGTGTTTATTAATATTTACCTTTATTTTTTAAATTATTTTTTTATTATTAAAAAATAGTTTTTTACTAAAAAGTCAAGTTGCAGTTTAATATCAAATATTGTATCATAGTTTAATTTTAGATTATATAAAGTTTTTAAGGTTAATATTCTTAGTATATATAAATTATAAATATTTTTTTATATAATATTTTATTTAATATATATTTTGTAAAATATTATTTTTGGTGCATTTTGCACTCAAATGCACTCTTTTAATATCTTAATATTTATTTATTTTTTTTTTAACTTTAGCAGTCATGCTAGTACTTTATTAGGATTCTTGAAACTATACAGATTACATAGAATTTTCC